GAAATGGCTCAGCAGTTCAGAGGACTGACTGTTCTTGCAGAAGACCCGGGTTCAAATTCTAGCACCCACATGACAGCTAAAAACTGTCCATAACTCCAGTTCCAGGGGATCCAATGCTCTCTTCTGTCCTCATTGAGCACTGTATGACACGGATACACTTACACACATGTAGGCATAACACTCATTCACATAAAATAAAAATAAATCAAAAAATTTAAAAAGAAGGTACTTGCTTAAAGTGCAATCATCATGTAATGGTGAAAAAAAAATATTCTCTGGAAGGGGAAAGGCTATTTGGCCAACAAGAAATGTTAGAGGAAATTGAGTTCACAATATTTGGATTCATCTTCCCCCCAAACAGTATAGATCTCGATTATTTTCATCTCTGATTTTGACCTAGTGAACCTGGCAAGATCGTAGTTTGTTCACTCAGTCCTTTTCATAACCCTGCCACCCTTTTCATCAGATCCTGAGCCTAATTTTAGTACAATCTGTTGTACAGCTAGCTACAGGAGATAGAGGCAGAGTTTGTGCTACAGTTCAAAGCAAACACTTGACCGTAAAATCCCTATGAAGAGTAGCATTTGTATGCCAACTAGGTGTAATAACCACTTAACTTTCCCATGTCTTGTCTTCCATCTACATGTCATGCCTACAAAATAGCACATATCACAGGTAAAGGCTTGAATAATTGTAACCCAGCTTCATGGGGGTGGTGGGGATTACTATATCACTTTACCATATATAACAGAGTCCCTTCTGCTTTAGCTGAACAATCCAGCTCTGAAACTCCATCCTAGTCAACTGTTTCCAAGAAAAAATTCTGGACTGGTGAGATGGTTCAGTGGGTAAAATGCTTGCCACACAAGCCTGATGGCTTGAGTTTGGTCTCCAAAACCCGTGGAAGGAGAGAACAAATCCTTAAAAGTTGTACTCTGACCTCCATATGCATGCATATGCACGTGCACTCACACATACATGCACATACATACACACAAAAATAATATACATGTAAATATTAATAAATAAAAATATCTTGAAAAGAACTACTTCTTTTATCTAAAGGTCTTAGAATCCCCAACAAAACAAAGCCTGAGTCAGCAATCTAGTATTAAAATCATCCTGGTGTGCAAACCTAAGACAGCAATAACAAGGTAAAGGAAAAGATGCTAGTAGGAAAAGAAAACATGTAGATCAATGTGATACAACACATGATCTCACTGACCATTATTTCACAAAACTTCAAGTCAACAGCCAGGTATGTACATGGGATTTTTTTTTAGAATGATTGAAAGGGAAACACACACACACACACACACACACACACACACACACACAAATATTTCAGACTATATGAAATGGCAAAGTAGGAGAAATTTCTCTACCTGGCCCTCTCATGCCTCTTGGTTTCCATCAGTCAAGGTTCATAGCACAAGAAGCTGATTCCCCTTATTTCCAGGCTTCTCACAAATCCAGATGAAGTACCTGTGTAAAACATGAGGGCCATTCAGAGACAGGGCTTCAATTAAAACTACCATGGAATTCTGGGGGATCAGAAAGGATACCCAAACCACAGAGGGGTTGGGATTTAGCTCAGTGGTAGAGGGCTTGCCTGGAAAGCGTGAGGCCAGGGGTTCAGTCCTCAGCTCAAGGGAAAGAAGAGAAAATAACCAAAATTAAAAACAAAAACGTGGACTGGCAGCAGAACAATTTGGAAAGTCAACAGCATCCTGGAAAAAAATCTAAGAAAGCATAAAGTGTGTGCCCAGAAGAGAAGGATAGTTTGGGCTAGGATAGTAATAGTGAAGACAGAGAAAACAGGACCAATTTATGGAACATTTTTAAAAAGAAAGCCAACAAAACTTTTTAATGAACTAGACATGAGAATCCAGGGAAATTGAGGATTTATGGATGACTCCTACATTTATGTAAGTTGAGGAACTTGACAAACCATTATATCATTTCAGAGATATGGGATATGGAAAAAGAACAGACTTGGCAGGAAGTGAACCAGTATTTATTTTAATACAGTCCAAATGTTTGATCCAAAAGATTTTGTGTGGGTGGCTTATTTTTTGAAATTGAAAATTAAACATAATAACCACAGATGTATTCCTTAATTCATCTGAAAGCCATTCCTACATGCAAATAGAATCTATTGTGGTTGGCAGTGCAAAAGCTGTCCCTCTACCTATTCGCCCAATGCCCATTATCTGTATTTTGACAATCTATTGCTGTTTAACAAACCATCCAAACTTACCAGCTTAAAACAACTGCATTTTTGTTAGTCACTGACCTACGACATAGACAAAGTTTGGCCCAGTGGGCTGTTCTTTCTTTCAGATAATGAGAGTTGGGGAAATTCAGCTGGAAGTTGCAGAATCTATACCCAACATAGTGGCCCATTCATATTAACTTGCAAGGTTGTGTTGACAGTATGCTGGGTGCTCATCTAGCGCTAAAGCTCAGGAGCCTCAGATCTTCTCCACAGGGACCTCTCCATAGGCTGCCCTTTCTAAAAAAAATCCACATGCCCAGAGACAGGACATTAAAGCCATCAGTTTCCTAAGTCATAAGCCCAGAAATTGGCATACGCTACCACATTCTGTGAGTCAAGCATTCACAGATCCTAGATGGGGAGAAAACTAGGTATCATTTCTCAATGTAAATAATGTCAAAACTTTGGGGGGATTTAGGATTTAGAATGCCACATCTTAGAAATCGTACCCTGGTAATATGTAATGGTGCTCCTGGGTCATACATGGAAGACACTTAAACCATCTGTCTTCAGATTGTATAATTCATAAGACGTAAGCATCATAGTCTTTAAATCTTTAAGAGAATGAAATATAAGATAGAGATAATAGTATTGCTAATAATGTGATTACTATTTTTTGCACTTACCCTATGTCACACATCATTCTAAATACTGTACATGGATTTCTCATTGGATCTTCCTAATAACCCCACAAGGTAAAAATAATATTGTCCTTATTTTACAGATACCAAATTAAAGTCATAGAAGAGGTACATAATTTTTCAAAAGCCATACAACTAGGAATCAATAGAACTTGGATTCCAGCCCAGCTCTATCTAACTACAGGAGTCCACATTCAAAACCATGATGCCATATTAGAAATGTAGAAATGGGTTTACCAGAAACAGTCTGCCAGATTACAGTCCTCTGCAAGGTCGAAGAGTTCATCAAGATTTTTTTTGTAGCAACCATATAGGAAAAAGTACATATAAAAGTTAGAATGGTTGGGATCTTCCACTTGAGTGTGTTCCTAGTCTGGGATAACATGAAAAGTAACAAATATTCAGTGCTGAGTGCCTCTTGTTTCCAGGCATTTCACTAAGTGCTTTATGTTCATTAATTTCCTATGCTTCTCTAAGCAATTGTGTAGCAGTTATTGTTTTTGCTGTTGTTGGTTTGGCTTTTTTGAGATAGGGTCTCCCTGTAGCCCCAACTGGCCTGGAACTCACTATGTAGACCAGGCTGACCTCAATCTCACAGAGATCCACCTGCACCTCCTCCTAGGTGCTGAGGTTAAAGGCCAGCAGTTAATTGTTTCCATTGCTATTTACAGTGCAAGAAACTGCAACTTGAAGCTGTCAAGAAAATTATGCAATATCTCATAAGTGGTAACTGGTTCTAGCTCAGATCTCACTCTAAACCCTCGCTAAATCATTACATGAGTGCTGTCCATCTCTAGGTAAGCTCAACAAGGGTACTTCTAGATAAAGGGCTAAGGAAAACATCACTGGACAATTTGAGGAATGATGAAATATACCCCAAGTCCGTGTAGTCCATCTTATCATTCTGAGCCAGGCGTCACCTCCAACTAGTAACCTCTTTCTAGAGTATATCACTTCATGCCTATGCCCTTTCATCTAAGATATCATTAATAACCAAGAATATTGACTCCACAAGGCAGATAGCTGAGCAAATCCATCTCCAATTATTCTCTTTATTCCAAGTTAATTAATAGCTAACTATTGAAGAAAGATTAAATAATTGACTTCCTGATGACACTGAGCAATTAAGTTCTTAGCTCTTTTCACAAGTCTAATCATTGCTGAAGTGGAGATTAATAATGATAGATTCCTTTTTCCATCTAATTCCCATTTTGTAATTAACTATCCATTGCAGGCTTCTGACCCTCCCAAGATGCTTTACTGGAAGCGAGTTTAAATCTTGGCCCAGTCAGGTGACCATTTACAACCAATTAACCCATTGTTAACGACAAAATAACTAGCTGTCCAGAAAGGAGAGGAAGTGGCATAAGGGAGCCTAAATTTCAATATGCCATCTTGTCCACTCAATGCTTCTTAGAAGTATTACCAAGGAGGTTATGTACAGATCTACTAGCCTCCTCCTCTGCATATTTTTAAAACCTGTCTTTATTTAGCTCCAGCCTCTCTCTAAGGGAGTGCAAAGTCTCTATTCTTGGGCAAGCATGAAAGTTCAAAGGGTAAAAGGGGATTGCCCCCAAGTCTGATGACCTGAATTCAGTCCCCAGGTCTCACACAGTAGAAGGGAAGAACGAACTCATACAGGTTGTCCTCTGACCTCCACATATGCACTTTGACATGCACAAACCACACACATAAATAAATAAATAAATAAATAAATAAATAAATAAATAAATACAAATAGGGTTGGGCTTAGTGATAGAGTCTTGCCTAATGTTTATAAGGCTCTGGTTTCAATTCTCAGTACTGGGAAAAATTCACAAAAAATGAACAAATAGGGTGCTAAAATAAATAAATAAACGTAATTATAAAAATTAAATGTTTAGTCTGAGCGATATAAAGACATAAGGCTAGAAATCCATCATTCTGGGACCAGTAACGGATTCCTAACCTAAGTTTCCAGACTCATTATCAAATGTGCCCTTCATTCTACTAGTAGCTTGGGTAATTAATGCCTATGGCAATCAGACCCTGGACCTCAATACACTTCTATCCAGATATTTCCTTCTATAATGACTCTTGTAAGCCTATTAATTTCTTTAATTTCTGATAACTTGTATAAAAACTGCACGCACAGCCTGTATTATATTGCAAGACCAAGGATTAGGTTAAAATATGACTGTCTTACCCAGCCCGCCAAATTTCACTGGCAAGAACGCATCATCAGTTCATGAACCACTTATCATACAGGAATCTCCTGAAAGAGTTCACAGCTACTCTGTCATTCCTAATCTTAGGATAGGAGCTGGAAGAAGAAACTTACTTTTAAAATTATGACATCGGCCTATTAAGTCACTGACAAACACTGACCCTGTAGAGATTAATCACCATCCCTTCAATAATAGTCCTAGAAGTATTATTTGTAGATAATATTTATATGATACAATCTTTATTATTTTTTTATTTTGTGTATGTATGTTTTGCGTATAAGTGCACCTATGTGTGCAGTGCCCACTGAGGCCAAAAGAGGGCATCAGGGTCATTGGAACTGGAGTTATGGATGATTGTTAGTCACCATGTAGGTGCTGGGAACCAAACCCAGATCCTCTGCAAGAACAGTCAGCGCTCTTAACCACTGAGCTATCTCTCCAGCCTCACAATCTCAGAACTCACTATGTAGACCAGGCTGGCCTTGAACTCACAGAAATCCACCTGCTACTGCCTCCCAAATGCTGGGGTTAAAGGCATGTGCCACCATACCTGGAAAGATTTGTGTGTGTGTGTGTATGTGTGTGTGTGTGTGTGTGTGTGTGTGTGTGTGTGTGTGACATGTGTGTAAGTGCCCAAGGAAGCCCAAAGCAGGCACTGGATCCACTGGAGTTGGAGTTACAGGCAGTTTTAAGGTGCCTGATGTGGATGCTGGGAACACAACTCAGGTACTCTGAAAGAACAGGAAGCACTTTTAACTATGGAACCATCTCTCCAGCCTAAGGGAACAATTTATTTATTCATTGTTATTTTTCTGGTTTACTTATTTTTAGTGTATATGCACGAGCATGTTGCCTGTTTGTATATAAGTGCACCTGTATCATGCCCACAGAAGTCAGAAGAGAGTACTGGGATACCCTAGAACTGGAGTTAATGACAATTATTAACCACCATGTGGGTACAGGGAAGGGAACCCAGGTCCTCTGCAAGAGCAGCCAGTGCTCCTAACTGCTGAGCCATCTCTCCAGCCCACTAAAGGAATGTTCTTATACTGTCTCCAAGGACTTGAAAATTTCACTTGAACGCTGCCTCTGAAAATTTAAGACTGCCAGGTAGGGGAGTAGGCAGAATTGCTATTTATTCTCTGTTGACACCTACTAGAAGCTTGGTCTAGGTTCAGACTTGAGGTATGTTCTATCTTAGCTTGTTTCTGCCCATACTTCCTGTGACCTGTAACAATAGTTGCAAAACAGCCTACCCTATCTGGACTCATGCATAAGAGTTTAATGACTTCTCTATTGGACAAATTCACAAACTAGAGTTCAGATTTGTTTGTCAAGTGCATAAAGTCACACTAGTGGTCTAAGCCTCCTCAAAGCAAATATGTGCTCTCTCAGAGCCATAATAAAATATCAACTATATTTGGAATTGAGTTAAAGAAAATAAGTAAGTGCTGGGGAGATAGCCCAGTCAGTAAAGTACTTGTCACACAAGCATGAGGAACTGAGATCAATCCCCAGAACACACATTAAAAAGTCAAGCACAGTGATGCAAACTAAAATCCTAGTGCTGGAGAGACACAGACAGACCCTTGGGGATCTCTAGCCAGCCAGAGTAACTGACTCTGTGAGCTTCAGACCAATGAAAATCCCTATCTCAAAAAATAACAAGGTGACAGATCCTGAGGAATGACACTTAAGGCTGTCCTCTAGCCTCCACATGGAGGAGAGAGAGAGAGAGAGAGAGAGAGAGAGAGAGAGAGAGAGAGAGGGAAAGTAACATCAAACATGGTGTTCACAAATCCACCAGTTGAAAGACCACCAAATTAGTTTTACATTAAGGCTATCAGGGGTTTTAAAAACCTTGTCTTATAGCCTGGGAAACAACAGAGTTTGATCCAAAAGCTTCCTTCCCAGAAGTTGATGAGGAAAATTTGTCTAAGACTTCATAATAGATTTGAGATTCCAGAGTATAACCATAATGTTCTTCAAAAGGCTAGTGAATCAGATCCCTCTTAAATAGTTGCTTATTGTCAATGGTCTGGAAGGGATGATAGAGATATATGCCAGTTCATGAGTGGAATAACTCAACTTGTTATTTCATCAGTTTTCAAATTGATCTACCCTTTCAACATAATTCCAATAAAAAAAACTATCAAGATATTTTATAGAGATCAATAAGCTATTTCAAAACTTATATGAAACTGAAAAATAAATGGAAAAGGTTTTTAAAGTGGAAAAAAAGCTGGGTGCAGTAGCACACACCTTTAATTTTGGTACTCAAGAGGCAGAGACAGGCAGATCTCTGTGAGACTGCAGCCAGCCTTATCTACATAGCAAGGTACAGGACAGCTATGAAGCATTGTCTCATAAAGAATAAGATAAAATAATAAAATAAACATTGAAAAAGAAGCATGAAGTTGGAGGACCTGTGTTATATATGATTTCAAGACTTTCTATAAATAGCAACTAATTAATAAAGGTGTTAGAATAGATAAACAGATCAATGGAACACTAACTATTGTATCCAGAGCCCACCATCCAAACTTGACTATACCTGAAAAAAAACCTATTTCCAATGAAAGTCACATTTACAGGTTCCAAGTGGACTTGACTTTTAGGAGGATATTATTCAACACAGGTGGCAAATCAGCAGATCAAAAGATGCTCAAAATGATTATTAAATAAGTAATTATTAGAGCCACACATATATTAGATAAGCTATTATAAGATAATAAATTAACATTACTAAACGTTTATAAGGAATGTCCTCTTACATAAACATACATTTACAGTATAGCTCAGCAATCCCACTCCTAGATATTTAGTCAAAGGAAATTAAAAATTTATGTTCCCACAAAATGTGAATATGAATGTTCCTATAAGCTTTATTCATGATAGCTAATTTGTAAACAATCCAAGTATGTCTTTTTAAGTAATTTATTTATTTTTATTTTGTTTATGAGTTTTTTACCTGCATGTATGTAAGTGCACCAGGTGCATGCACTTCCCATGGAGGCCAGAAGGGGGCATCAGATCCCCTGGAACAGGAGTTATGGATGATTGTAAGCCACCTTGTGGATGCTGGGATCCAAGGCCTGGTCCTCTGAAAGAGCAGCCGGTGCCCTTAATTGCCAAACTGTCACTCCAAACCTCCAAGTGTTTCTTGATTGAATGAACATAATGTAGTACATCTATACCATAGACTACTTCTTTTTACAAAAGGCATAGGAAAAATTAGAGGCTGATGAAAATGCTCTCTATCTTGGTCATAGTGATGGTTCTATGACTTTGAGTTTATAAAATCTCATAGAAGTATGTAATAAAAAGGTAAATTCTACTATACATAAATTATAACTCAATAAAGTTGACTTTTAAAAATTGTCCTTGGAGCCAGGCATGGTGGCACACATCCTTAATCCCAGCACTCAGGAAGCAAAGGCAAGTGGATCTCTGTAAGTTCAAGGTCAGCCTGGTCTACATTAGTGAGTTCCAGGCCAGCTGGGGCTACAGGGAGACACTGTCTCAAAAAGACAAAAAATTGTCCTTGAAATGAATATATATCCAAGTGTGAAGCTACAGGGGTGGGGAAGGCATCACTGTGATGGGATTGGCCACACTTTATTAAACTATTGAAGTTGGGTGAGTGGAAGATGGAGTTCCGTATATTATTCTGTAAACATTTGTATCATAATGAAAATATAAAACATACCTATCAAAAAATTTAAGTTCTGAAGAATCTGACCATACATCTTTATTACAGAATATGGGCTTTTCCATAGATGAAATTTATCTTCCTTGGATAAATTATTAGATACAGCTGGGTATGGTGGTGTATGCCTTTAATCCCAGCACTTGGGAGGCAGAAGCAGGTGGATCTTTGTGAGTTCGAGGCCAGCCTGTGCTACATAGTGAGTTCCAGGCCAGCTGGGGCTACAGGGAGACCCTGTTTCAAAAAGACAAAAAAAAATTATTAGATAGATAAAATGTTTTTAGGCAAAAGAAACCTGATAGCTGGAGAATACGTTGTATTTATGAGTTCTTTTTATTTAATGTACATTAGCCTTTAATTTTTTTATATTTGTGTGTGTGTGTCTGTGTGTGTGCAGGTGCCTCCAGAAGCCAGAAGAGGGCATGAATCTCCTGGAGCTGGAGTTAACAGACAATTGTGAGTCAACCAACGTGGGTGCTAGGAACTGAACTTGGGTCCTCTGGAAGAGAGTAAATGCTCTTAACTGCTGAGCCATCTCTCCAGTCCTTAGATTAATATTTTTAATCTACTACTGTATTACAGTTTATAAACATAATGTTCTGGCCACCCTTCAGAGCAATAAAATAAAAATCCTTGACTTTTGGTTCCCGGATATGAGCATATTTTTAAGCTTTTTATGTAACTATTATCTGTAGCCAGGTTAACAACCACTTCATTGGGAAAATAAAAGTCAGAAAGTTAAGGCTCACATTTTGATATGTGCTTCCTTAGAAACACACTGAGTTTGTAAACACCCCAAACAGCAACTTTATTCATCCTGTCTCTCTCTACACACAAAGAAACTCCTTTCCTTAATATTGTCTGGGAAGTCCCTTCTCTCATGTGCCTCCTTTTCACAAGAATCCTGAGTGAACGTACAATTAGGTAGGCTGTGTGTGTGTGTGTGTGTGTGTGTATGTTTCATAGATTAAATGCCACTTGGTACAGCTTTTCTAGGGACAAGGGAAAATATAACAGGCACTGTATACTCTATTAACTTTAGAATTAGTAGCAGCAGAATCTGGACACAGTAGTACACACCTGTAATCATAGGATTCTGGAGGCTGAGGCAGGAGGATCATGATTTCACAGGGGGTAGCCTGAGCTACAGGGAGGGGGGGAAGAGGGAGGGAGAGAAGAAGAGAGAGAAGATAAAAAGAAGTACAGTATAATTAGACTGATGGCATGCTGCTAGCTTTGACAATTG